CGGCGGGAGCGCCTCCGCACTTCCCAAGCGGCGCACTAGCGCAGTGCGCCACCGGGCCGGCGCAGAAAGAGTAATTTTTGAAATCACGTTTGTATTCAGACTCTGTGTGGCGCCTCCGCGCTTCCCAAGCGGCGCACTAGCGCAGTGCGCCACCGGGCCGGCCCAGAAAGAGTAATTTTTGAAATCACGTTTGTATTCAGACTCTGTGTGCTTATCGGTGCAGCTATGCATCCTCTCTTTACCATAATGAAGATAAGAGAAAGGGATAGATAACAGAGATATATGGATATGCATGTATATGTAGATAATTGCATTATAATAGATGGCTGTTTATTAGAAAGATTATGGCTTTCTATAGTTTATATGTAGATAATTGCATTATAATAGATGGCTGTTTATTAGAAAGATTATGGCTTTCTATAGTTCTCCTACATTATGAGCGTAAAACACATTTAGATTTAAAGTAGCAGAAAGCGAGCACTTTTGAGTGTTTGTAGTCACTGCTTGTTGAGTGGGGAAAGTAGGATGCAAAACCATGATCCTAACAGAACACGTTAGCTAACCTTATTTTGATATGAAGTCACTAGTGTAGACACCATGTATGTTAGAGATGAAGAGCCCAGGCTCCAGAGAGAGATTGCCAGGGTCCGCACTTATTGCGCCCACCTAAGGAGATATGTTACCTTGAGGAAGTGTAACTGGACGCCTCTTTACTGCGGTTTCCTGGTGTGTGAAATACGAGCATTTGCTTGATGCAGGAATGGTAAGAATTTAAAAAGCTTATACTTGCAAAATGCTAACACACAAGTTAATAAATACCTGCTATTTTGATTATTTCATATTTTTATTTTTCCTAACATATTCATTAGAATGCAGTTTTATTACTTCATAAACGGGAAGATTATAAAAATTAATTGTTTTTTGTTTTTTTCTACTTTCAGATCCATGTATTATAACTGAAGAAAACATGAATGAAAACAACATACAGTTAAAAGGGAAAAATGACAAAAAATACTATGCAAAAGCAGGGGAGACTATTGAATTCATGTGTAAATTGGGATATAGTGGAAATACAGGAATGCTATCATTTCAAGCAGTGTGTCAGGAAGGGATAGTGCAATACCCAAGGTGTAAATGAACAAGCGTGTTAACCTAAATGTGCGGCCAGCTTCCATTTCTCACTTATTGCCTCAAACTGCACAGTGATAACTTCTGATGTTTTAAATATTTTCTACTTTATTTCCAAAAAGATAAATAAAGGCAATATAATAGTTTCTATTTTCAACTTACTATCTTCTCTAAAATATGTTAAAACAACTTAAATCATTCCTTATACTTGTACCAAAATAGCAATAACTAACAGTCTTGGATATTGGACTAATTATTAATAGATTAATAAAAACAGCAACAGTGATAACTATGTGGTGTTCTATATATTGTGTAAAATATCTTCAAAGGAAACAAGTAAGTTTAGAATTTATTTATGGAAGTAATATTGTTATAAAGTTAGATAGTGAAGTGGTAAGCAAAAGCCACCACGCGACTGTGTACCCTTATTGCAACCACAGTTCTCCAGATGCAGTTAACAAAATGCAGTCATTTTCACCAAAAATAGTGTTTCCTGTTAAATGTTAACATTACGCCTTTATCACAATCCAAGAAAAATAGTACCGGAGAAGGTAAACCAGCATCATAATTCTGTGAAGAAAGGAAAGGAGTTTTTGCTAAGCATTTGAGAGCATTGGGGGTGGCAGTGGAGGTGCATTCAATGCGTATTTACTTGGGCAATGTCGACACTTCAGGATGCCAAAACTTTCTATTTAAGGACATAATAATTTTTATATTTATTCAAGTATATGTTCATCTTTTTCAATACAAATATTTTAAGGTTTCTTCACATATGGTTTTTACATTTCTTATCAAGTTTTTTTTAGGATCTTTTTTTAATTGAAACATAATTGACATAATATTTATAAACATAATATCTGTGGGATACGGCATTAAATATCAATACCAGTGTGCAATATACGATGTGCAAAACAGGACAATCAGTGTATTCAACATTACACAATTACAGTCTTACCCTGTGGCCTCTTCCCAATTTCCCACTAACCCCCTTCCTCTCCCCCACTATCTCCAGTGGCCTCAGTGTTGCTCTCTCTTTTTGAAAGTTCAAAAAATGATTGTTGTATTTTTATCTGTCTTTCTTTTTTTATTTATTTGATTATTTTTTTAGCTCCCACTTATGAAAAAAGGACATGCAGTATTTCTCTTTCTGTGCCTGGCTTATTTCACTTAAAATTTTCTCTAAGTTTATTCAAGTTGCTGCAAAAGACAGAAATTCATTCTTTTTTCATGGCAGAGTAGCACTGCATTGGGTATATATGCCTCAGTGGACATTTAAGTTGGTTCTAACTCCTGGCTATTGTAAATCGAGCTGTGATAAACATGGGAGTACAGGTGTCCCTTCAACATGATGATTTCCATTCCTTTCAGGATACACTCAGCAGTCAGACTCTTGGACCTTAGGGTTGTTCTATCTGTAGTTGTTTGAGAAACCTGCACACTGTTTTCCATAGTGACTGCACTAACTTACAGTCCCACCGATAGTGTATGAGGGTCCCCCTTTCCCCACATCCTTGCCAGCATTTGATATTATCTTTCTTTTTGATACTGGCCAGTATATCTGGTGGGAGATGGTATCTCAATTTTTTTTTTTTTTACATTTAAAGAGAGTTGATTGTACATATCTGTGGGGTACAGCATTGAATATCAATACCTGTGTGCAACGTGTGATGTTCAAATCAGGATAATTCATGTAGCCAACGTTGTGCAATGTAATCGATTTTCATGGCCCTTTACCAGTTCCTCTCTTACCTCCCTCCTCCTCCCCCTTTCCCACATCTGGTAACCTCAGTTCTACTTTCTCCTTTTGAAAGCTTGATGTATTATTATGATTATTGTATCTTTCTTTTTTTATTTACTTGTTTATTTTCTTTTAATTTCCACTTTTAAGTGAGGACATGCAATATTACTCTTCGTGTTCCTGGTTTATTTCACTTAACATCACTTTTTCTAAGTTCATCCATACTGCTCTGAATGGCAGTATTTTATTCTTTATGCCAGAGTACTATTCCTTTGTGTATAGATACCACATTTTCCTTATCCAGTCATCTGTCAGTGGACATTTAGGTTGGTTTCAACTCTTGGCTGTTGTAATAGAGCTGCAATGAACATGGGAGTGCAGGTATCCATTTGACATGATGATTTCATTACTTTGTGTACATACCAGCAATTCTATTGCTGGATTGTACGGCGTTTCTATCTGTTGTTGTGGAGCCTCCATGCCTTTTTCCATAATGGCTGCATGAATTTACAGTCCCATCAACAGTATAGGGGGTTCTCCTTTCTCTGATCTTCAGCATCCTTTGTTATTCTCTGTCTTTTTGATAATGGCCAGTCTTACTGGGATGACATGGTATCTCAATGTGGTTTTGATTTGCATTTCCCTGATGCTGAGTGATGTTGAACATTTTTACATGTATCTGTTGTCCATTCATATACATATATCTTCCTTTGAGAAAGGCCTATTTAAATCCTTTGCCCATTTTTTAATTGGGTTATTTGTTTTTTTACTAAGTTGCTTGAGTTCTTTGTATATTCTGGATATTAATCCTTTGTCAGATGCATAGTTCACAAATATTTTGTCCCATTCTGTAGGTTGTATTTTCTCCCTGTTAATTGTTTATTTTGCTGTGTAGAGATTTTTATTTTTGTTGTCTGTGCTCTGGGCATCATATTCATAAAGTCTTTGCCCAGTCAAACTTCCTGAAGTGTTTCCCCTCTATTTTCTTTTAGGCATTTGATAGCTTCAGGTTTTATATTTAAGTCTTTCATCCATTTTGAATTGATTTTGGTATATGGTGAGATGTATAGGACTAATTTCATTTTTCTACATACGTCTGTCCAGTTTTCCCAGCACCATTTATTGAAGAGGTGGTGTTTTCCTCTTTATATTCTTGGTGCCTTTGTCAAACATCAGATGGCTTTAAGTACCTGGGTTGATTTCTGTGTTCTCTATTCTCTTCCATTGATCCTAATGTCTATTTTTATGCCAGTAGCATGCTGTTTTGGTTACTGTAGCTTTGTAGTACAATTTAAAGTCAGGTGTTATGCCTCTGGCTTTATTATTATTATTATTATTAATTATTATTGCTCAGGATTGCTATGGCCAATTGGGGTCTTTGATTGCTCCATATGAATGTTATGATTTATTTATTTATTTATTTATTTATTTATTTATTTATTTATTTATTTATTTATTTATTTATTTATTTATTTCTGTGAAGAACATCATTGGTATTTTGACAGGGATTGCATAGAATCTGTAGATCAATTTGGTAGTGTGGACGTTTTCACAATGTTAATACTTCCAAACCAAGAGCATGAAATGTCTTTCCAATTTTTTGTGTCCTCTTTAATTTCTTTCAACAATGATTTGTAGTTTCATAAAGATCTTCCACCTCCTTGGTTAAATTGATTCCTAGGTTTTTGTTTGTTTGTTTGTTTGTTTGTTTTGGTATCTATTATATATGCACTTGATTTCTTTTTCTGCTAGTTCATTGTTGGAGTAGAAAAATGCTACTGATTTTTGCATGTGGATTTTGTATCCTACAGTTTTACTAAAAATTGTTTATCAATTCTAAGAGTCTTTTTTTTTTTTTTTTTTTTTTTGAGTCTGCTGGCTTTTCTATATCATGTCATCTGTAAACAGGGACAATTGAACTTCATTTTTTCCAATCTGTATGCCCTTTATTTCTTTCTCTCACCTGATTGCTCTGATTAGTACTTCCAAAACTATGTTAAATAAGATTGGTGAGAGTGGGCATCCTTGCCTTGTTCCTATTCTCAAAGGAAAAGCTTCCAACATTTCCACATTCAGTATGATATTGATTGTAGGTTTGTCATATATGGCTTTTATTGTGTTGCAATACTTTCCTTCTATACCTAATTTTCTGAGAGTCTTTATCATGAAGTGATGTTGAATTTTGTCAAATGCTTCTTCTGCATCCATTTACATAATCATATGGTTTTTGTCCTTGATTCTGTTGATGTGGTATATCATGTTTCTTGACTTGCATATGTTGAACTATCCTTGCATCCCTGAAATGAATCCCACTTGATCATGGTGTAGAAATTTTTTGATGTGTTGCTGTATTCTGATTCCTAATATACTGTTGAGGATTTTTGAATTTATATTCATCAGAGATATTGGCCTGTAGTTTTATCTATCTATCTATCAATTTATCTATTTATTTATTTATCTTTTTCTGGTTTTGGTATCAGGGTGATGCTGGCCTCATAGAATGAGTCTGAGAGAATTGACTCTGTTTCAATTTCTGGAATAGTTTGAAGAGAATTGTCTAATTCCTCTTTAAAGGTCTGCTGTAAATAGGACTGGACACAGACTTCATGAATACGACCCCAAAAGCACGGGCAACCAAAGGAAAAATAAACAAATGGGATTATATCAAACTAAAAAGCTTCTGCACAGCAAAAGAAACAATTAACAGAGTTAAAAGACAAGCAACAGAGTGGGAGAATATATTTGCAAAATATACATCCGACAAAGGATTAATATCCAGAATATACAAGGTACTCAAACAACTTTACAAGAAAAAAACAAGCAACCCAATTAAAAAATGGGCAAAAGAGCTAAGTAGGCATTTCTCTAAGGAAGATATACAAATGGCCAACAGACATATGCTCAACAGCACTCAGCATCCGGGAAATGCAAATCAA